GATGGACTAGTCATGATCTCCATTCTACTGATGAGCAAACTGAAGCTTAAAGGGGTTAAGAAGTAGGCACCAAGGGACACACCAAGCCAATGGGGGCCCGGGATATAAAGCCAAGCCCACACGCCTCCCTACCAAGCCGTCTTATCACAGGCCAGGGACTACTATCCCGTGAATGGGACAGCGAGCCTGTCTTCTGCGGGTGGAGCAGCTCATCTCTTATAAAAGATACCCCAAAAAGTCCACTTGCCTCCAGAACAAAGCTAATTCCATCCTCACCAAGACTGTGTGATCCTGATGAATGAGAGACAATTCCAAGATAAGTGAGGTGCCATGCACAGGGACTATTGATCTTGTGTTCCCAACCGGCAGACATCAGTCTGCTGGATAGGTAGATGGACTGCCTGCCCTGATGGGAGCTTCAGATCACGATCCTGGGAAAAGCAAGACAATTCCTCTTGCCTCAGTAGGACCTCCCATAATCCCAGAATCACCAGCACAGAACTCCCCCTCTATCATTACTCAGATCCCATGGCCAGAGTTTTCCCTCTATACCCAAACCCTGTCACCAAGCAAAGTCGGCAGAAACAGCACAAACTCCATATTGCAATAATATATAGTGGGTTTTTTCCACCCCCTTCTCTTGTGTCAACCATTTAAGCCCTTCTCTTCCCACACACAGCCAGATGGAAGGGTGTCCACTTTACTCTGTAACCAGCCCTCATCATAACCCTATCTCTATGCTCAGAACTGGAAAAGAGAGCCTTCTTAATTCTCAGTGGGATATGGGCCTAACAGTGGTAAGATACCCCCAAGCTATTCAAAGAAAAACCACCAGAGGAAACGATTTCAAATCTGGCTTTACAAGCATGTGATTTAAAAATAACTCTGCCTTTGTCTGCTATAGATGACTTTCCCTAAAGGGATGGCTGTCCTTAAAGCAATCACTCAATTCTCAGGGCACACACATTCATTTTTTCCTAGTATCCAGGCATACCTCCAGGAAAGCAATCCCACATACCACCTCTGATAGCATCTGCAAAGCAAACATCCAAGTCATTAGATTGACTCCTGCTATCTCTGCTGGCCTGGGAACACCCAGGAGGCTGCACCTCACAGGACCAGGAAACCTCTGCAGGTACCTGCAACATCTGAAACCCACCACTCTCCCCTTCAGGAAGATGTTAGCCCAGAAAGCTTGGTTGGCTGGGTGCAGTGGCTCACATCTGTGATCCTAGTACTCTGGGAGGCAGAGACAGGTAGATAGCTTGAGCACACAAGTTCGAGAACAGCCTGAGCAAAAGCGAGACTCTGCCTCTACTAAAAATAGAAAAACTGAGGCAAGAGGATCATTTGAGCCCAAGAGATGAAGGTTGCTGTGAGCTCTGATGCCATAGCACTCTACACAGGGCAACAGCTTGAGATTCTGCCTCAAAAAAACCCCCAAAAACAAGAAAGCAAGCTTGGTCACCACACCATAGCCACATCAGGTCTCAATGGATTCCGGGATTATTATTCAAAGAAGATGTATTTCTTCAAATATCTGATTCATTTTTTGAACAGATAAGTGGAGGACTGGGGATGGGGTACGCCTGATGGAATCAGGGACCAGGGAGTTAGTCATGATAAACCTATTAGAGTTCACAAGAATGCTCACCTCCTTGTTATTCCAAGACCTCCATTAGGTGAATTAGAACTGTATAATTTTGGGAGGCTGAGGCAGGTGGATTGCTTGAACTCACGAGTTCAAGACCAATCAGCCTGAGCAAGAGCAAGACTCCTTCTGTAAAAGATAGCTGGGTGTTGTGGCAGGTGGCTGAAGTCCCGGTTATGCTACTCATGAGGGTAGAGCAAGAGGATAGCTTGAACCCAGGAGTTTGACAGTTTGAGGCTGCTGAGTTGTGATGCCATAGCACTATACCCAGGGGGACAAAGTGAGACTCAGTCTTAAAAAAAAAAAAAAAAATGAAGGAAGAAACGTATAACTTGTCAGTTTATGGATTCAGCTATGGAGTGTAACTCAAAAGATGCACTCTGAACACATAGCTGAAAACAAATATTTGGTAACTGTTCCACACCTATCTCTTATATCCTGATTAGCCTGAAGCCTAAGTTTTACCAACTCAAAGTGTGTAATTACACTCTTATTAATATTCTATTTCTTCTTGGCAGCCTAATGTCTCCTGACCTTCTTAAAGGTTTTGCCCTGACACACTGTAGGAGGTAAAAACATCCATTTATGTGTTGGGATCCTGAATTAAGTCCATATTCTGCTGTCCAAGTTGAAGGTCTCACCCAGAGGTTCACAACTGAGAGTGACTTTATACTCAGGGGACATTTGGTAGGGACTGGAGACTTTTTTCCTACTTGCGGCAGCTAGGGGTGAGAGAGCTACTGGCATCTAAGAGGCAGACGCTGAGATGCCATTAAGTGTCCTACGTACGAGGCAAGAACAGCATCCCACAACAAGACTTAGCCCAACATTAGCCATGCCAAGGCTGAGAAATCCTGATGGAGACCAAAGTGATACAACTCCCCGAATGCTCGAGGCTACACCTGGGCTTTTCCTGTCTGAGGACATACTTTCTTCAAGATTAACTTGGTCCTTCTATCCTGGTCAGTCCTGGGAGTCACACAGAATAATCAAGAACTCTCTCCCTTTCCAGGTTTGCTTGCCACATACATCCCTCAAGGTAGCATCCCCTAGAATTTTATTTTGCTTGATGATATTTAAAATCATCAACATTGTGTGAACAGCACAAGGAGCTGGGCTTGGCATTTGAAGAAGAGCTTTCACTTTTTTCTTTTCTGTGAAGACTATCACTGAGTTTTCAATTCAAAGAAGAGAGTTATTTTGAAGTGTGCTTTCCATTATCAAAAAGACATTTAAATGAAGAGCTTATTTCTAGACCTTCAGTGTTCCCTTTGATCCCAGCACCTTTCTGTCACAGTCTAACAAAATGATTCCCACTGAAACTCAGGGGGTTTTGGCTATGGGTTCCAACTCCGATTGGGGCAACTCGAGTTTCTAAGAGTCATTGATCAACACTGACTCTGACGAGCTTTGAAAAATGACTTTTAAAGAAGCCTCAAGATTCTAAAACCATGATTTTAGACTCTCATGAGGAAACAAGGTGTGGACACTCAATGGTTGGGGAAAAAAATACAGTATTCCTAACACAGCACATACTCTACATTTGGTAAGGGATTGAGAAATATTTTCCATTGATTTTAAGTATTAAGGTTAATGCACCCCTAATTTATAACTATTTGGCAAAATCTCCTGATGTTTCCCTTCAGAAGAAGAGTTATATGCTACATCTCAATATTTTAAGAAGGTGTGTCGCTAGACAGGGATTGATATAAATAAAAGTTGACACAGATACAACAATGATCACAACTGCTTCCATTCATACAACACCCACTGCTAGTCCTTTGACCCTTTATACATATTCTAATTGTCTCGATCATTTACTAAAGTAGAAAGTGCACCCTTCTATACAAAAGGAAACTGAGGTTCCAAAAGTTATGTTCCTTACGAAGGCCACACAGCTACCAAGTGGTCAGTCTCACTATGCAGAGGGAGCCCAGTGACAGAGGCACAATTGTGCCTTCTCCCTGGGGCTGTGCTCCCTTTTCCCCTGGTTGTTTTTCCACCTTGAAGAACTGTTTATTTTGCTGATTGTTCCTGTGAAGCAACTGAAAACAGAAGACAGGGCACCACACATTGTAAGTAGCAGAGTCTGGGTTCACATCAAAAGTGTTTTCCCAAGCGCCTGCAGCCTGCAAGGTGGCTGAGGGTTCTGATTTAATTCCATTCCAGCCAGTGGCCTTGAATTATAATTCAAAGTGATTTTGAAGAAAAGGCTGGCACAGAGAGATTCAAAAAGGAAGAACTTGAACCCCAATGCTAATGTATCAAGGTGGGAGTGGTCTCTTCCTTCTCACATCCTTTCCTTCCATTTAAATCTTGCTCTGTGTCACAGAAAATTTCTGCAAGAGCTGAGGACACCAAGTTCATCTCTGGCACAAGTCTCTCATTGTCCTGCTTTCTGTTCTCCCCCACAGCTAAGGCCCTCAGCTCGGTGACCTTCCTGGCGATTTATCTGGCTGAATCTTTGTTCCTGGTTACCTGTGTGCATGAAACAGTCTTTCTTCCTGTTCATTTTGTACTACAGGGTGCTGAAGGCATGAATCCAGGGCTGCCTGAATCCGTGTTTCTATCTGGGCATTGAGCTGTGGGTTTTGAAGTACTGGTCATTTCAGGTGACGTTTCTGTGTGACATTTCAACATCATTTACAGCCGATCTTGCAGCCCAGCGGGCTTTGATGAAGGTGGATTAAGTGTGATGGACAGATGAAAATGAAAAAGAAAAAGTAAGAACAGTTCGGTTTATAGGAATAATGACAGGAGAGAAATGGGGTCTGATCCTGAAAAAAGGCTAAGCCGCATTTAATATGAGAACCTGTTTTTAGGTCCTGTTTCCTAGTTAATGACAAACACCCTCACTCACATTTTCCCCCCTCACTCACATTTTTCCCCCCTTCAGGGCAGAGAAGAATGAATAGATGCAAACCAAGCCTTACAGAGTCTACCCAGATCACTCAGCAAGATCCTATTATCTATGTGTTCAGCGAATAAGGAAAAGAGATAGAAGAAGAGATGGTTCCTTAAGTTGCTGGAATCAACTAACTGCTGGTATTTCTTAAAACTGCAATCCATGGATCAGCTGCTTCCGAATCCCATGAGAAAGGGGTCATAAATACATATTCCTGGACCCTCACCCCAAACCTGAAAAATCAGACTTTCTAGGGGTAGATACATAGGATGTGTATTTAACTGATACTCCCCATGTTTGCTCCTTGAAGTGGGAGAGGTTTTGCCATGAGCAGAGCAGAACATTCCTTTCTTAGAATATTTGCTAAAACCTCCCCGAGTGTGAAAAGCCCCTCCCAGTCACTCTTCTCCCCTGCTTTAGGAAGAAGCGTCCCACGGCCTTTACCTGGTCTGATGGGGCTCTGCATACAGTTTGGAGATGGGATACCAGGGTGAATGGGTGCAGACGCCCGGCTGCTGAGGTCCATGACCGAGGGGGCCGCTGAGGAAGCCGGCTGCAGCCCAGGAGGGTGAGGGCTGTGGTCATGCTGAGACGGGCTGGGGGGAATGCCATTTTCTGACAAAAACTCCTCCAGGTCCATGTATTCCAACTGGAAAGTATCTCCGTCATAGGGAAGGGTTTTGTCCCATAAGGTGGGCCCCAAGAATGCCGACTGGGGGACTGTCGGGCTGTTACTCTCATCATCCAGCTTCTTTTCCTTCTCTTTGTCTTTACAAAATGCTGCAAAAGAAAGGAAAATCAGACTTCAAACAAAAAGGAAGAAGAAAAAGTATCAAGCTTTTACTCCTTTTCCTGGCCTGTTATTAAACCACGTTTCACCAAAGCTAGGATCCTTCTCTGGCTGCTGTCCTTTGTGGATCTAGAGTTAAAAGTTCAGGCAGCACATGGATCTCTGCCCGTTTCTCAATATCATCCTATTTACTTTGGAAAGAAAGCACTAATCCTTTCTTCTAGAGCAGTGGCTATGGGCTGCTCTAGAATCAAAACAAGAGAATAGTCTCAGTGCATTATTTGAGGCAATTAATAATTTAAATCTAAAGTGGGAAAATAACACCTGTGATTACATACAACTGCTGTGATTGTTAAGAAAACAGCCAATAAGCAGGCTGGATTCATCTCCCAAGAACTCATCATGGGAACGATATAACATCATTCAGACTTACAAAGCCAGTGAGGAGGTTGTCTTAATTTTGGTAGAGCCAGGATTTCCCAACCCTTCTATTACATATTGAGCACCGACTGTATGCCTGGTTCTTTCCACATAGGATCTCAAAATTGTCACCAAAAAAGTTGCAAAACAACCTCCATTGCAATATGGAGGCTCTGCGAGTTAGGAACTTGACCAATGCCTCCCGCTGGAAGAGAAGAAAACAAGCACTTTGAGTTCACGTGTGTCGGCTTCTAAAGCCATTGGGGCACACTGAATTTTTACAAAAGGCGTAAAAAGAAAAAAAAAACACATACAAAATGTTCTCTTCCTCGTTCTCAAACACTGAATTCTATCCAATTTACAATAAATCGCACGTTTAGGAACCGCGTCAAGGCACAGGCACCAGAAAAGGTATTCCACATACCTATGCTGGAAGTATGCAGCTATTTTCTACCTGGAAATACCGCTCGCTGGATTAGGTCTTTCACAGGTGCTCTGGATTTTGTCAATTCTAATAATGAGGTGAGTTGGAATCTGAGATTAAGAATCTGAGTTTCATCTTCAGAGAAACACGGCCATCAGGACAAGCCATGGTAACTAAGTCCGTCTACAGTTTCTTCTGAGAATCTGACTTAGCACAAACACCTCCAGAAGCTAAAGCTCGCCGGCAGCCCCATCCTCCCCAGTGCCATTCCTCAAAGGAGAGTTCAGGGAGGGGCGCTAGGATCTGCAGACTGCAAACACCCCAATACTTGGAACGCAACAGGTTGCTCCCTTCTGGGTAACATGGGAGTACTCCCCAGCTATTTGCACCAAATAATCTTTTAAGATTTTACACTCTTAGCAGTGTGGTTCACATCCGCTACTGTGATACCGAAAGCATGAAACCCCATCAGCCCAAATGGCAAATCCGCGGCGGCCCCCTCTGGGTTCGCGGCTCAGTCTCTCTATCCCCTCCGCTCCCGCCGAGGCCAAGGTTGCCTTGGGAAGGTTTGGGACTTGCCAAGAAAAGGCTCCACTTGCCAGAGGAGGCTCCCGCGCGGTTACACGTGAGCCCGCTCCCCCTCCCCCCCTCCCACCAGGGAAAGTGCACCGGGAAAAGTGTCATTTCGCCGAAGGCGTGCACGGTTCCGCCGAGAGACCACTCCCCCCGCCGGCCCCAGCCCCCACCCGCTGTGTGAATTACCCTCTACCTGGAGAAAACGCGTCTGTGCTCGCACCTCCCGAGTTGCGAACTAACCAGTCACAGAAGCTATAACACAAGCCGGACACCCAGGCTATGCAGTGAACCCCCCTCACTCAACCGCCCCCTGCCCGCCATAGACCCAGGCCCCGTGGTTTCCCCCCAGCCCGCGAGGCTGCCGGGCGCAGGCGGCTGCCCTCTGCGTGCGAGTGTGCCCCGCGCTGGGGAACAATCCCGACCTGTCAAGTTCCACCTCCCACCTGCTCCAGGGAAGCGGGACCCGGGGAGGCTGGGCCGGGCCCCCGGCGCTATTTTAAATGTTGCTCGGGAGGGGTCCCTCCCTTTTTACTGAGGAGGAGGAGGAGGACGGGTGATGGGTGAGCTCCTCAATCTCATCAGAGCGGGACGGGTGCCGTGGGACAGAGAGGGAGAGGATGGATGGTCCAGCGGGCGTGCCCGGCCAAGGAGGGGCCCCCGGGAGCGTCGCCCCTTCTCAGAGCGGGGCCGCCGGGGGAAAGGAGCGGCGGCGGCCGCGGCAGCGCTCACCGTCTTCGTGGTGAAGGGGGAGCTTCAGCGGGTTCTCCAGCAGGGACCTGAGCACGCCGTAGGGAGGCGGGATAAAGGTGGGATTCAGGGGGAGCGGTCGGGACATTTTCTCCATCGCGATGTACTCAATGATTTGTCCTCAAAAAAGAAGAAGAAGAAACCAAAAAAAGAAAACCGCCCCCCCCAAAATGTTGCTGAGCTTTTCCTGCGTCCTTCGCCAAAAGTACAAAGTACTCGCTTTCAAAACGTTGGAAACAAGGGAAGAAAAAAATTACTTATAGCCTTATAAATACATCTGCAGAAAAATATGTATTTAAAAAATAAAAAAACTTTCGGGTTTCCAGTGCAGACGGTCCCAGGAGAGCGCGCCAAGTGCCCACGGGCTCCCCGGCGACGCACAGGGATGCTCTCACCTGCCTCGAACCCCTCGTCTTGCAAAATGTTCAAAATTGCAAAAAAAAAAAAAAAAA